CTCCATCCATTGATTTCTCCACCCTTAGGCCTTTGTTAAAAAGGTAGAACACCTTGAAGACTCCGTGTTGATCTGAATAGATCTTGGTTTCGGCTTGTTTGAAGTGTCTCCATTGTCTCGTTTGGTTTCTTAGCTTTGAGGTAGGGATATTCTACTCTTTAATATGAGCTTTAACCTAGATATTTGTCATTTTGTACAAATAATGGGATTTAGGAAGATTTGGGTGAAGTTAAGGTTAGGGTTTTGATTTTTGAAAGAAGGGTTTTCCATATTTGGTACCATGTGTATGAGAGGTCTTGAACATGATATTGCTTGCGTATACTTGGTGAAATTTGGTCTTGGGTGTAATATTTGGGAAATGGGGAAGAGTGCCCTAATTTGAACTAAATAATTATTTTGTGTAAATAACAAAATTGGTTTGGGAATTATGAAATTGGGGAAATATGTGATTGAATGGTGTAGTTAGATTTGATAAATCACACACCTATGAAAAGTTGATAATTTATCTGTTGATAGATTCGTTTATCTGTTTAGAAATATCTGTTTTGGGCTATTGGTGGAAGATAGCTATGATTGTTGTAGAAATTGCATGAAGACTAGCTAAATTGACACTAGTCATATGAGTTACGTCATTGAATATGACGGGTTGATTAAATTGTTAAATATGTGATTTGATTAGTCATTGTATATGATAACGTGTTTAAATACATTGTATATGTATCATTGTTTGAAAGGAGATAAGGGATGTACTCCATTGTTTGGGAGGAGATAGGGATGGACTCCATTGATAATTAAGTTGGTCAGAGTGTCCAGGGTGAAAGTCCCAAAATCTTGTATATATTTGGGTGTCGGTTCCCTCGGATGTGATTCCATAAAATGGCAAGAAAACGGAAGTGTTTGAATGATGTTTGTTATTGAAGTGTTAATAAATGAGTTGTAGTCTCGTTTTAAATTATTTGGATAACAACGAACTATGTCAATGAATTGATTTGGATAAATGAATGGAAATGGACTGAAATATGGATGTCAATGTTGATTGGTCATGAAAACGGTATAAATTGGTTTACAAGTATTAAACATTTATCTGATACTGATATTTTAGTTAATTCTCATATATTATTTAGCATATCTCTACTGGGTTTTGGCTCACCCTACTTGGGAAACCATTTTCAGGTACAGGTGACATGCCGCCTCCAAAGACATAGCTTGAGAGGCTTAGGGGCTGAAGGCTCCATTTTGCTATTTTTGCTTTGTGTTAAGCGTAAATTCAAGTCGATGGCTTTATATGTATAGAGCTAGGCCTCTTCTTTTGTTGTAACCAAGTGATAACTTGGAAAGATGTAAGCCCGTAGGGCACTTATTTATTGTTAGCAGTTAGAGTTACATGCTATAGTTTCGAAATGAATATTTATGAAAGTGTAATGCATGCAATATCTTTTGTAATACAGACTCTGATGAATGAAAATATAACTTTTCTATCATGTTTATAGACCTAATGAATGATTGATTTATATAATATTTTGAGGACGTTACAATGAGAGTGAGTGATCAATGAATCCGAAAAGTGGAGATCAACGAGTCTTAGAGTAAGAAAGAGAGTTAAGGAGTAATATGAAACATTATTTGATACTACAACAAGAAGATAAGAGCATGTGAGAGAAACAAAAATGGCATAATCACTAGTCAAGATTTGGTGTGATTACTTGCTTGTTTGGTTTTGATTTTCTAAAAATATTTTTTAGAAAATTCTATTTTTTAATTCTCCATTTTTTTTTCAATGAATTTTTTTAATATTTTAAGCAATTTTTTTACTTTTTAGACACACCTAATGTAAATACACTTAAAAAGTATAATATTTGTGAAAAAATCTTTAAACAATTCATTAAATAATAAAAATACAAAAAAAATGAAAATTCAATACGTTTTTCGTATTTTTATGTATTAATTAATTTTTTAAAATATTTTTTGACAAATATTTTACTATTTACATACATCTAAGTAAGGTGCATCTATAAAAGTAAAAAAAAAAACCAATAATCAATATTCCCCGATTAAAAAAAATTAGTAACTAAATATTTGACTTGTGCCAACTAATATTATTTTTAGTCGCCAATTCCACAACTTTTGGCGACTAAATTTTTTTTAGTCGCCAAAAGTAGTCACCAAAAGTGCATTTTGTTGTAGTGTTATGTCAGTTTTTATTCACTCTATCCCATCATGATATGTGATTATTATTGCATGTTAGTTTTATTGCATCCCACTTCCTTGTTCCTCAGTGCCTGCTTTTGCTTCACTACAAGAAGCAATAAGACTAGATAAGATTAGATCAAAACCAAAGATGTGGAGTGTAGTTTGGGTAATAAGACTAGATAAGATTTTATTAATTCCAAATCCCACCAAATCAAATTCCATTTTCAAATGCCAATTCCATCTAATCCCACTATTCCAAATATGTTACCATCACGTTTGTTTTGGTTTAATTTTTTTTCCTAAAATATTATATCATATTGAAAATTAATAGCAATCACAATTCCAATAACAAAATTTCAATGAAACAAACTCAAGAAAATCTAACCTTGTGCAAAGATTGTTGCCAGTAATTAATGAAAGAGAAAGTGTGTGTTAATTTAATAGTATCAAATTTAAAATGTGGGTTCATGATAACTATGTGAGTATCCCGTCATGAAATCTTTTTCCACTTGTTCAATCCAAAGTCCAATCACTCAAATTATGTTTTTCACCTTCCTTAACGCCTAAATTTGATTTGAAATGTTTAAATTTAGAAACAAGCAAGCCCTCAAAGCAAAAAGATTAAACATGGCGTTAATATCGGAGACCCCCCTAGCATGAGCCTACCATTCTCTGTGTTTGGTTTGAATTTTTTGGATTAAATTTTTTAAAAATTGAATTTTTTGTTTTTAGTGAATATTTTTGAAATTTTAAGCATTTTTTTTTTTTACTTTTTTATATATACCTTACTTAGATGTATCTAAAAAGTAAAAAATTTGTGAAAAAATATTTTTAAAAAATTAATAAATACATAAAAATATGAAAAATATACTGAATTTTCGTATTATTTTTGCGTTTTTGGTATTTAGTGAAATTTTAAAAGATTTTTTTTACAAAAATTATACTTTTTATATGTATTTATGTTATGTGTGTCTAAAAATTTAAAAAAAATTACTTAAAATATTAAAAAAATCAAAATATCAATAAAAATACAAAAAATAATAAAATAATAAAATAAAATTTTCTGAAAAATATTTTTGGAAAACCAGAAACAACGTCACATACATTCACTTGTTTGACTTTTGTTCTACAGTCAAATCAACCAAATTTTGACACGTGGCCATTCATCATTTTTCACCTGGCTGATTATTTATTTCTACTAGTAATTACTTCTTCTTTTTTAATTATTATTATTTTAAACAAAAAGAAAAAAAAATCATTTTCTATTTAATTCGATCAGACGTTCTCGCTAGCTATAAATTCTCTGAAGCTCCAATCTTGGCACCAACTTGACATACATACACACATATATACATATATTATCTACTATTATATATGTACAAATAGAAATAATTGCATATTATAGATTTTGAGATTGAAGGAGGGAGGGAGTGAGAGAGAGAGAGGCGTTGGAAAATAGAGACATTTCCGGCGAATAGCTCGCCGGAAACAGAGAAACATTGGGGAATTTTTCGGTGAAGATGAAATGGAGAGGCGAGAACAGTGCAAAGCTCGGTGGTAATGGCGAAGAGGAGAGAGCTGGCCGAGTTGACTCGATCCAAAACATGAAGCAGGTATTCGAGAGGCGATTGGTGAAGTACGAGAGCTTGCCTGAGTACTTGAAGGACAACAAGTTCATATTGGACTATTACCGGTGTAAATGGCCGTTGAAGGAGACGCTGTTCAGCGTCTTCGCTTGGCACAACAAAACCCTAAACATCTGGACATGAGTCATTCGTTGTTGTTCGAATCGAATCAACTCAATCTCATGAATGAATCGTAAATCGAAATTGAAATCAGTTTCTTTTTTAGTTTGAGTTTGAGTTTGAATTTGAATTATTTGAATTTTCGCAGGCACTTGGGGGGGTTTATTATATTTGTTGCATTGACCGTGTTGAGCTCGTTGGAGAAGAACAATAACGAAAGCTTGATCGTGAGTTTCTTCAAGTATCATAATTTTTTAATGTTCTTTTTTGTCCATTGAAAAATCATTTCTTAAGCTTGTGTTGGGAGATACACCAAACCTACGCCTCAAACACCATGGATGATGATGATGATGGACAACGAAGACAGACGCCAAGGGCTCAAATTCTTTTTTCCCGGTGAGTTGTTCTCCCTCCCTCCCCTCCTCCACATAATAAGACATGAAACAGGAAAATATATGGCAGTGTCTGGGCATAAATCAATAGATGTTAATTTAAGCCAAGTTTGGGAAGACTAAATAAGTGTACTTTTTGACTTGTAGAAAAGGTAGAGAGGAAATGTTGATTGATGTGACCCAAAAAAGATAAAAAGATGAAATAAGTACACTTTTTTAGTTTAGCCAAACTTGGCCTTAATTTTTTTTTTCTCAAGATTATCAAATATTAATTTATTAATAAAATTAAATTACAACTTAAAGAGGTCACCTTTCTATCAACTCGACTGCCTAACCTTTCACTTAGTGACAAAACATGAAAAATGGATAAACAGTCTGCATTCTCTTCCGAATCCGACTCAATGTGATTTAGCATTATGTGCAAATCAGAGTGGGTTGAGTTGTTGGAGTGAATAGCAACACTCACAAATATATGACCACTCCATTGATTTAAGTCCCATTTGTTTTCCTCTATCACAATCCATTTCATAGTCTATTTCGAACCGTGAATGATGAACAGTGAAATATCTCATGTTTGTTGTGGTTTTGGAGTTTCGGATTCGTAGTCTCCTTCGGACTACGATAGGCCTTGACGAGGGTATTGTTAGTCTAGGCGAGGAGGTGATATTGGAAAATAGTCCGTTCGGCTTAGGGTGTTACTGGTCGTCCACCTGGTCAACCAGTCAACTGTAATTTATTTTTTTATTTATTTTTTTTACATGTTGGATAGACTATGCTGGAATGTGTTTTTCTGGTGCCTAGACTATGCTGGCATCTCCTTAATGATAGTCTGCTCCTTCTTTGCTCACATCTACTATGCTTTCTCCTGTAATCCATATTCACGATACCTTTATCTGACCTCTATTTCATTACTTGGTATCCTTGTCATCATCACCCTCCTTGCACCTGCTCTGTCCACTCCCCATTTCCGATCCTTCAGGGCCTCCCTCTTTCTAGCCATGGGCTTCTCAGGGGTGATTCCAGCAGCACATGTCGTGGTTCTCTTTTGGGGCCATCCACATATGGTTTTGGCCCTCAGATATGAGCTTGTCATGGGTGTTTTATACGCTGTAGAAGCGAGTTTCTATATGAGTAGGATACCAGAGCGATGGAAGCATGGTGCATTTGATATTGTAGGGCACAGCCATCAGATTTTCCATGCTTTTGTTGTGTCAGGAGCGCTTGTTCATAACGCTGCCACCCTCCTAGTAATGGACTGGCGTCGGGGTTTGCCAAACTGTGAGTGATAGGTAGCAGCAGCAGCTATGGATATATGGCAAATACCTAGCTAGCTGGCTGGCTGGACATGATGACACACTATTGCTGTTGCTGAGAGTATTATCCATTTGTCTGTTGTCTCTATTGGTTTGGTTTAATAACCTGGAGAGCGCAAGCGCACATGTCCTGCATTTTTGTAACTGTCAGTATGGAAGGGCAGGCAGGTCTTCTTGTATAATGTGAGATTCCAGAAACATATATTGTGATTACTTATTAAACTATTATTCTATTTCTATAAACCTTTGTTTGAGTGTGGTATTGGTTAGGAATTAAGGTACTTATTATATTTGCTGGATGTGATTTTTTTCTTCTTTGTTTCAAGGAACTGTGACAGCGTAACCCATGAGGTGGCTAAATTTTCCTTGAGAGATCAAAATTTTCCGGTTGGTTTAATATGGAAAATTATTAAACCAAATCCCATAAACATTGCAAAGAATTCCCATTCTTAAATTATTTAAGTCAATTATAGTTTGATTCATACTTGAAGGTTTCATAGGAAAATTCTTAGAAATTCGTGCTGATTTAAATGAAAATTTTGGAGAAATGGTAAAATTTCACCATTTGAGAACAATGAACACAATGAAATTTCATTTTATTTCTTCTTCAAAATTTCGTATTCGATATGAATCTTTTTTTTATAGATCTCAATGAGAAGATTCTAAAAATACTAATTTTATAAAACATGAGTATGTAGATCAAAAGTTATGATATTTTAAAATTTTAACATAAATTCAAAAATGATGTATTGTTTCATGTGCATAGTGTGTTCGCTGCAAGTCAAGCTTTACAGAGGAAAATAACATATATTTTTTAAAAGTAAGTAGCTATTTTTTAATTGAGAATTACAAAAATGCTCTCTATTGTAATTTGTAAGATAGAGACAGTTTTTACTCTCTAGGGATAGGAAACTTGTTGGATAGATTTTGAATATTTGCCTGCATATTGTAGCTAAGGAGAGATAACAAATATGCTACTATTGAAGATGCTCTAAACGCATTTTGGTTAGAAACTGTCTCCATAATCTATCATCTTGCTTCTCTCGACAATCTGATGTATACATATAGGCTAAGCAAGTAAAGAAATAGTAGAAGACAAGGTGGAAGACAAAAGGAAGTTAATGAAGCTAAAGAAGTATTAATTGAGCTAATGGGAGACAAAAGTGGAGCATTATCTCTAATGGATCAAGCACTAGATAATGGAGGCTGAGTGTATATATTTGGTGATGAATATATCAGAAAATGAGTTAATGAGGTGTCCCAACCGAACCAAAATAAAATAAAATAAAAAAAAGGGGTCTGATGCTGTTTTAGGCTGGTTCAACAAAATCTACTCTTAAGCCCAACTTCAAATAGGCATATCTCCCTTATCCAGACTCAACTTTGGGTGATTCTTGGGTCTAAATTGAAGCCCCAGAGGTCTAGTTTCCAATAGTGGTGATCTCACATTTAAATTCCAAGTGTACCAATAGATATGCCTAATTTAGTGAAGGCTGTTCATTTCCCTCAGGTCAAGTCAACAAAATCTGCTCTTAAGCCCAACTTCAAATGAGCATACCTCTGTTATTCGGACTCGATTTTTGGTGATTCTTGGATCTAAATTGAAGCCCCAGAAGTATACTTTCCAATGGTAGTGGTCTCACATTTAAATTCTAAGTGTACAAAGAGATATGCCTAATTTCGTAAAGGTTGTTCATTTCCTTCTTAATGACTTGATGCTCATTCTTTTCCTAAACTAGTTTTCTTTCATCCCCTCCTATTTCCTTCAAATCCAAACCTATAAAGAAGATGTTTTTAAATATTTTTTCAAAGAGTTCACCTCCCTTCCATTTATTTCCACTTTGTCCTTACTTAGTTTACTAAAAAGTGCAATATTTTAAACGAAATGGGAGCCTCGGAACATCATAGAAACATTTGGAAAAAATATTTTGAAAAGAAAGTTTTAAGGTCAAAAATAGTTTGGCCAAAAAAATGTGTAAAGGTTGGGATTAAAGTTCATATTCCATCTCTCTTATTGAGGATTCTGTGAGAAATATATTCTAATTGTTATCATCGGGTAATCAAAAGAAAACGCTCAAGTCTTAGGGCCAGTCAAAATGGGGTGTCTACAAATGTGAGGGTAAAAATGCATATATCCAGCCCCTTCATTCAGCCGGAGCTAGTGAATTCAATGACTATCTTTCATTCATCTGAAAGTGAATTGAAAGACTCCTGGAATAGGAGTTTTTCTCTCAGAAGTCCTGGTAAGTGGGAGTGGAGCCAGCACAGTTGTAGCGATGTCCGGATATGATATTTGAGAGACTATTTTCTGATGGTCAACAAATCATTGATTATAACAAATAGAAAAAACAAAAAATTCTAAAATAATAAATAAACAGCCTCTTCTTTTATTCGAGATGTTGTTCTTCATTTTTTTTGCATGAGTTTGTTGACGTAAGTTACTAGGAAGAGGGTAAATTGTTTCCTTATTAGTTGATCTAAAGGCTTTTATGGTTATTGATTGCATTAGACTAGAAAGGACAACAAACAAACTACTTCCATCCAAAAACAAGTGCAATTATTCTATTTCTTAAGCAAGTGTCTTGCTTGATTACAAAACACGAAAAGATAAGCACGTGTTAATTTCTTCTAATTTCTTGGGCCACCACGAAACCACAATGCCAATGAGAGAATGAGTGAGTACTGTGCAGCTCGCAGCATTTGGATCCTGAGCTCGGTTTCCTTTATTATTTGGTCTTTTGGTAGGTATCGCCAAAAGGCAAAAAGGAGCCTCTGGCATACGCGGAGCTGGTTCTTGACGCGTTCGATTTCTTCTCCAAGTTGAGCAAGCCTTTGTGCCATAGCCATAGACATAGTTCAGCAACCTCCAAAAATTCGCACTCACACAACTTGAACCAATGACAATCTAGATATGATACCAATTGAAATATTAGAATCAATAAGGGAGAATTTCATACCTAGAGTGTGAATTCAACTATATTCTAGCTTAATTCTCCAAGTCTTTCACAATTTCATTCAAATTCTCATTCCTCTCTCTGAAGTGTTGAGTTCACTCTCCTTTTCTCTAGAATTCTCAGCTCAAGTGTTGAAAGTATGAGTTCAAGACATGAATTAGACTTATATAGGGTGTGATTAGCTAAGGCTAATTAAGTTTGCTTAAGAAGAATTAATCCCACTCAATTTTGATTAATTCTAATTATTTTATTCTAATTATTTCGATCCGAATCAAATTTTAATTAAAGTTACCATAAAATTTTAAATATTCTAATTAGTCTATTGGGCCAGTCAATTTCAGTTTCTGAAACCGTTTGGGCTTCCAATTTCTAATTCTAAGTCGTTAAGTAATAGATATTCCATGTAACAAGCGATAATCTCGAAATTAAGCATGTAATCACACAACTAAATACACAATCATGTAATTAAGCTTATTGAAATAATGTAATAGAAAATTACGGAGATCAGCATTATCACAGTGACGGAGCTATAGAAAGGAGTTGGGATGGCATCGATGGTTGTGGAAAGGGGTCGAGGAGGGCGTTGATGGAATTGTAGGTGGTTGGGAATGGTGGAAGAGAGGTGACCAACGGTTAGGAATGGTGGCCGACGATTGTAGATGGTGGGGAAAGGAGAAGGAAAAGAGAAGAAATGAAGAGAAGAGAGAAACGTGTTACAGGGTAAAAATATAATTTCTATCATGTTTTGGTAATTATTTTTAAAATTTCCATACATATAACTATGAACTTTTATTGAGGGAACTACATATAGGTACAAGTTGAGAAAAAAAATTACCAATACACCACAACTTTTCATTTACACCTCACCACAGATATACTTACATCTCCATGTATTTGAAATTTTTTTCCCAATTCCAACCTGTATGTAGGTTTTCCTTTTTTATTCTCCCCGTTTCTAGTTACTTAGGTTCTTTTCATTCTTGGGTAATTTCTGTTTTATCTTTTGATATGTATAATGATTGAAAGAAGTACTCAGTGCCTTTGTGCTTTTGCTTGATTTTAAAAAAGTAAAATAAAGTAAAAATTAAAAAAAATACGAGGAGTATACAGTAGGGCATCTCCTTTAATATGAATCATATGATCAAGACTGATAAAAAGTTATGATAAACTTCTACTCGCTATTTACAAAATGAATGATAAGTTTGCTTGAAAATAATTTTTTTTTTTTTTAAACCTGTGTGATAAAATAATAGGTTACAATTATCGAATTGATCTATTTTTTTCATAAATAATAAACACAAAATCTTATAAAATAAACAATTCAAATCATACAAACACTTCTAGTCTAGATTCTAGACAGAACCCTTCAAAAAATTGTTTATATTTTAATTAATTCTTTTGCTCAATGTTTTAATAATTGTTTAAATAGTTTAAAATTTTAAAAATTAGATTAGTTCCCCTATTTTTATGATTATTTCCCCTAATTTTCTATTAATAGCATAGACTTAATCGAGTTGATTTCATTTATACGAGTGATATATGTCAATTTGTTTTTTAAATTAAAGAAGTATGTATACTTTTTATTTGCTTTCAAAATTTTGAAAAAGAATGAAAAAGAAAAGGAAAAAGAAATGACTTGTTAGACTTATTAAAATTTGTTCTTATGAAATATTATTTTCACAATACTTATGTAAGAATTATTTTCAAGAGCTTTCAGTCCAAAGGTTCATTTTATAAAATTGTATGTTCATATATCCAAGCACTAAAATATTGTGTCCATAAGGACATGTTTCTACAAAATGACCAAACTACCTATATACATTTATCTACACGATTTGTATTCACGCGTATCTCTCCTCCATCTTTCTCTCTATCTATTCAAATTAACTTTACTTTTTTCTCTCATTCTTATTTCACACTCACACTCTCTCTAGAAACCAGGTTAATGCAGCACATCCTCCATTGTCCTCCGCCACAACAGCTCTTCCATCATCGCAACACCTCATTTTCTCTTACTCTCTCATCTCTCTCTCTCTCTCTCTCTCTCTCTCTCTCTCTCTCTCTCTCTAAAATCGTCGCACTAGATTCAATAGATCAGACAGTCGAATTCTACCGCTTCATCGTTATTGCCATCTCCAGATCTAAGGAGTTAGGTTAGGGTTTAGTTTGTTTCAAATGGTGTAGTAAAGAGATGGTTGAGATATATCAAGAATCAAGACAAGGACTGGTTTGCTAGGAAGAGATGGTTGAGATATATCAAGAATCAAGACGAGGACTGGTTTGCTAGTGCGTGATTTAGTCTTGATGGCGTAGAGAGAGAGGAGAGCGACCTCAAATCCGACTAGGGAAAGCATGGCGGCAACGGAGGATAAAGAGGAAGAGAGGAGATGGAAAAATTAAAATCAGCGTACAAGGTGCAAAAAGAGAGAGAGAGAGAGAGAGAGAGTAAAGAGAGAATGAAGAGAAAAAGGAAAATGAGAAAGAGAAAGAGGCATACTGGCTCTCTGTATTTTGACTAAGAGAGATAGATATGAGAGATGAATAAGAGAACGACGAGGCAAGGATCAAAATTGGAAGACTAGTAGGTCCGGTAGAGCCACTGGCATAGGAGGTCAGCACCGACGCCGGAGCCGGAGAGATAGGACGAAAGGGCGGAGTAGGCAAAGAAACAGATAAAGAGAGACAAACATACAGACAAATAGAGAGAAAATAGAAGTAGAGATAGAAACAGAAAGAGAGAAAATAGAAGTGGGTTTTTTTTAATTTTTTTTTTAGAAACGTGAAGTGGGTTTGTTCAATTATTGGATAGGTTTAATTTTTTTGAACCTATCTGTTCAAATTTGTACATATCTGTACCTAAATTTGAACATATAGGGGGAAAAAATAGACTTGGATAGGGAAAATTGAACAAACAAGGAAAAAATAATTAAACAGATAGGTTCAAAAAAATTGAACAGATAGATAAAAATTTGAATAGATAGGTTCGAAAAAATTAAACAGATAAAAAAATTTCAACAAATAGGTTAAAAGGTAAAATTAAAAACAAAATGTTCTTCAAAACAATAAAATGTACTTCTCACCACAATATCTCACAAACAGATACTTCTCACCAAAAAAAATTAGTCACGAGTCCTAATGACTTACACCCTATTTAAAATGACTTTTCATTAATTTCTCTATTTTTAATTAGTCCTGTATCAAAATTAACTAAACTATTTTTATGTACATACCTTGAACCCTATAAAATTTCTAATTCTACCCCTCATAACTCAGGACTCCAACCCGATATAGCGTCAGCTACGCACCAACCACTCTGAGACAGAGAGAGAGAGAGGAGAATTGTGCACCAACCACTTTGAGAGAGAGAGAGAGAGGGAGGGAGAAGAAAATTGTGCGTAGGGAGTGACCGAAAAAGTGCTTGCGTTGGTAGATGATGGAGGTGAATGGTAGGTTTCGAGGCAGAAAGGTGGATGGTTGATCAAAACAGTGTTTGCAAGCATGAATGGCTGAGGGCAGTGGCTAGCAGGGACAGCGTTGTGGAGGTGGTTGGGTCAAGACTGTAAATTGTGTAGTTTGTAGCTCACTAAAATCAGGTAGTAGCTTGTGGACACAGATGGGCTTGGATTTGGTATGGTCAAGCACACGAACTGCATTATGATTATGGATAATTCATATTTTATTTACAATTTGCAAATTATATGAAACAACCAAGTCATTCAATGTGAAGAATAAGAATACTAATTGTGAATTTAACAAATTCCTTTTATAAGTACACACACTAGCATGTTTGTGTGAGAAACCAATTCTATACAACCTAGATGTAGAGTAAACTGCATAAATTGAAAACACACTACATTTTGGATGGATAGACCAATTGACGTCAATCATCATCAACAAAAGCAGAAAACCATAACTGATCTTATTAAAAATATTTCATCATTAGAAGTACAAACCAATGGCCTCACAAATACCTAAGGGACACAATATTGATCACTTAAAGCACAAGTCACTGAATGGCGTGTAGACCAAAAAAATAACTAAATCATTATATAACCAAAACCAAAACCAAAACCAAAACCCAAATTCTATTTCTCAATGCTACAAAATATAAACGAAAAATGGAGTTCATTAATATCCTCGTAACTATCTTCTCTAACTGCTTTCAAAAAACAGCATGAAATTGGAAGCAATAAGAGATTAGCATAGGGAACTAAAAAAAGAACAAACCCAAAGCCTGCATCACCTATCTGAAGATGTGAGTTCTTGTGTACATAGAGAAAGGGACAAGTGCCCTGACATATCCCCACAAGGGAAGAATTGCGAATTGGCGCTTGGACAGTGGGTGGAATTTACCCTTTCAATTCATCTCACATTCTGCCGAGTCTTGATCATTCGTTTGAGAGTTGCAAGCCAGAAATTGCACTCATCCCAGTCACTAGTGGTGAGTTGCACCTGTCCAAACCAAGGATCAACAGAGGATCAAAAGGAAACTCATAATTCTCAAGCACACCCAAAACAAGGAAAACACAAACAAATGGAAAGAAGAAAGTGCACTGAAAAAATCCCATCTCACTTCGTTGAATAAAATGTTTGAGGTATGAAGAGTAATTACCTGGATTTGGAGGGCAGCACTGAAATCACCGCTGTCCAAAGCCTGGCAGAGCTGAACAAGCTTTTCAGCTGCATTTTTAGATATGTCACCACTGTTAAGTTTGGCAAACAAGGCACCTATTTTCCTTGAATTGTCCTCTATTTCTCGCTTCTTAGCTGGATTTGCACGTGAACCGCCCAGTGCTTCTGATGTCTCATTAAAGAGTCTTGTCAACGTTGTGATAACAGGCCTTTGCTGGGCTGGAGCACATCGAACAAGCAAAACATATTAGATCAGCTGTGAATCAGCAGAGAATCATTTTGTTAAATGGGATGACTTCCAAACAAGGTCAACAAATAACAAAACTGAACAAGCACACAAAACTGGACATTTGAGTCCCCTAAGTGTATCCGGGTCGAAAATAATAATAGAACAGGTTTGGACGTGTGTACAACAGTTATCAAGAAATGTCCAACAAGTGTCAGCATCAGACATGCCACAATCCTAGAAGTGCCTGTGCTTCTTAGGTCTTTTTAAATGTTAACAAAACTGATAATGTCAACCACACAACAAGTGATTAAAATCTGTCATACAAATAAAAAAAAAAAAAATTTAAAATCTAGTAATGCAAAAAGAAACAGAAGAAATAAAGTTACCAGGTACACTTGAAGTATCAACTGTCTGTACTGTAGGTGGGGGAGCTGCAGGAGTTATGGCTTGTGCTGGCTGAGTAGGACTGGATGGTTGCTTTGGACCCATCATCCCAGGTCGTTGAACTACCGAACTAGTAATAGGCACAAATCCCCCAGATGCTGTTGGAGCCACAACGTCAGGCATCTTATGCCCAGGAATGGGACCTGCTTGAGATGGAATACGCCCAAGTGAGCCACTGCCAGGAGGTCCCACTTGATAATTTGGGTTGCCAGTCCCCTAACAAATATGAAAAGCAAATGTTAGTAAAACCACCACATTGAAGAATTTGAAGAAAAATAAACTGGGTAAATTACACAGACCTCCCAACTATTGAAGAAAATATAGTAAGCCCCACAAGTTTGCCATAATTACACTAGGCTCCCTTAAGGTTTTAATTCATATAACATTGGCTCCTATTTCATAAAAAATTCATTAGCTATATGAATGAAAAAATGATATCATCTATTTTACATTGAAATATATATTTTGCCTTGTGTATCTTTGTATCTTCATACCATCTGCATTACATTAGTTTTGGCCTTTTTAACCTTACTAAACGGGAGGTCAATGTAATTATGGCAAAATTATGGGACTTGCTGTATTTTCTCTAAACCTCAAGGGAGGTCAGTGTAATTTACCCAAATAAATTTAATTCAAAAGAAAGATACACATACAGGATACAACTGAGAACCCAACGTGGGTTGCTGGTATTGCTCCACATTTCTCAACACAGGAGGAGTAGCAGGAACAAAGGGTTTCAATGTAGGTTGAGTGGTAACAGGTGGTGCAGTAAAGTCCATCTGATTAAAAAACATTTCAAAAAAAAAATGTTAAATAGAAAAGAAATCTTAATACAATCAGACTTTACAGCATAATGTCCTTGGCAAGAAAGTTATAAAGAATGGTAAAATAAATAACTAAATTAATAAAATTAGAAAATAATAATAATATATTATCCAAGTGAAACTGATGAACAAACAGGTTCATATTCCATGACTGTCTGAAAAGTCAGAAATCCTAGCAGACATTTAGATAAGTTAGATATACGTCAAATTGAAAAGTCCATTTCTAGCTGGAAGATACATAACTAAACCAAGCATTTTTACGCAGCCAATAAACTTTCTGGAAGAATAAACATCTCTCAGCAAATCAAGAATACTATGATTATTACAAGTATGATTCATATAATATGGATCAATAAATATGAATAAACTATTTCCTAGTAGACAAGAACCCAATTAATTAAATACCCGGGGAACTTGAGGTGCCTGTGATGGAAGAAACATGTTAGGTTGTGGTGCTGGCTGATAAGGGCCTGGTGCACCGTATCCTTTACCATATGAAGACCTAAATGAATGTTGGTAACTTTCACCATAAGGATTGTTTGGAATGCTCTGCTGCAGTTGTGACGGTGCTGTTTCCTATCCAATAAAGGAAGTACAAACAACTAAAATGTGTCAGTATTAGCAAAGCACAAGATTCTACGGTTAGAAAGCTGATACAAAAATATTATCTCATGTTGAAAAGATAAGGGATTAAGCACCTGATAATAATGTTGAGAGGCCTCAACTGCACCAAAATTGGATTGATTGGAACCATATATGGGTCCTGTTTGTAATTGAGAGTTTTCAAAAGCCATAGACTTGGGAACTTCTTTCTCTGCCACACAGTGAATCTAGATCATCATCTGGCAATAAAGTAGTAGCAACATATCCCCTACTTCAACATGCAGTAGAAAAGCTGATTTCACTTTTCAAGTTTGACAACTAAAAGCAAGAAAACAATAAACCATATGTCCACACACCATAATATAAAACTAATCAACTAGGAACTGCATCAAAAGTTTACAAGCCACTCTCTGAATCATATACTAGTACAAAAGGAGGAACTAGAGGTAGGGCACTGCACTCAAAAAAGACAAAACAGAATAACATAAAAAGAAGCAAGATCGACTTTAAGTGGCTTCACAGCCCATGATCATTGTTTAACTGCTACAAGGTCTAAAGGAGGCTGCTACAGCTAGATATCAACAAAAGAAATAGGAACTTCCTTTTGAGGCCCACCAAACCTCTTTTGAATTGGCACCAAGAGATTTTTTTTTTTTAATCGGCGAAAGCCGATAGTTGGTTGTTAGATTAGCACCTGAAGGGAATTGAACTCACACCCTCCCCCTCTCCTTGGAAGCACTCAAGTCTTGCTTCCCATTCCACTCCTAGGAGTGGAACCCAAGACCTCCCCCTAGGAGAGACTTGGTGGCCAAAGGGCTAGAATGGCTGCACCAAGAGGATTTTATTTTAAAATATAACAAATAAATGAAAAAATAAATACAAAGATGATCAAGGAGGGCCACAGGTCCTCCAAAGAGAATTTCAATAGTCTTCTCATATCTTCCTCCATATCCCCTAGAAGTTCTTAAGAAGAATCTATCTAATCTAAGAACAGAAGTCAAAGTTACAAGCTTAACATAACTCAAAACTCATTACGCCTAAAAAATACATTCTAACCCAGATTTACTTGCTTGAGAATTAAAGAAAGAACTGTTAGCAAGACCTACATTTTTTTTAATAAGTATACTACAGGAGACACCAAAAGGGGCACATTTGCACAAAAACTAAGCAAACTCAAAAAAGCTCAACACAAATGTTTGGCTCTCTCGTAAAAATTACAAGAGCAAAAAAGAATTAAAAAAATAAATAAATCCTTTACACTAAAAATTAAAGCTATCCAATAAATACATCTTTAAACTTTTGAACTTATGTTTACCTAAAACATGGATCATTTTGGTACGTGGAACGGGAACGGGAACGTGGTACACCACATGCTCTAAGCTGTGGTACAATAGGGGTAGACCTGTATATATCGCACTTAAGAATTTAAGATACTTCTAGAATAATTTTCTTTTAACTATTGGGCATCCAATAATATATATATATATATATTTTTCATTTTTGAAGTTTTTGTCTTGTCAAAACTTAAGTCAACTTAGATTTTAATTCATTATATTTGATTTTTTTCCTCTTAAGGTAACATTTAAGGAAATATATTAGAAAAATCGCTTTGGATCACTAAATTTACCGTTTTGGAACGAAAGTGTACCATGTTTTGGAACGGGCATACCATCACGTAATTCGCCAGGGTATTAGCGTTTTTTGGTAACATAGTTTGGAACACCCAACTCTGTCTTCAAAAGGTATGCTTATTCATTTCTCTTCACGAGCACTACATTACACACAAAGCAGCCACCGTCCAAGCTTTCTCCTTCCTCTTCAACCAACATTCATCCCACAATACTTCAGTCACTTGAAACAAAAGCCAGCATCATCCAATGAACATAAAAAATAGTCAAAGAATACATCATTCCTTACCGGCAGGTGGCCGATAGTGAGAATAGAGTATAAAACAGTTGTCCAAACAAAAAAAAGCTACTTTTGTTGGTACTCCAGATTTGCAAATGATCTTCGAAGGCAAAGGATTCCTTGCCCCTCCAATAATCAAACAGTAATAGAACTTGACTGACCCACTACCTTGTTTGCATCACATTCCTAGGAACCTAAAAGACAAACACAGACACACTAACAAGATAATTTTAAAAAATTTATAGGACACACAACACATGAGGAACACGTGAAAAATATATAATTTTATATATTTATTATGTCATATATATATGAATATCTTATTCAAAACTCACATATATATAAACATAACACTAATGCCTAAAATTTATTTTAAAGTCGGCCGTCTTTCACCTCGTCCCAACTCCTCACCCCCTCGAACTAGGAATACAGCCAGGCATATTACTCAAGAAACACCCACTAAACCCCAAACACAGCTAAGAATTTTTTATTTTTTTATTTTTTTGAGACAAAAACGCAGCTGAAATCATCACCCAATACGTAGATGGTTGACAGATTTACCTGCTTGCTTGCAGATTTAACACCAATTAACAACAATATTTCTTCAGGATCACAGAGTCTAAAGTGAGAACATTCCCATGAGCTAGAGTCCATAAAACAAAGGCACCTTAGAAAATGCTTGTGACATCCAAATCACTTCCAAGGCAAAAAGACTACTCCCAACTTCCCCTCAAGGGTCCATCAAGCGATTTCACCTTAAAACACCACAAACTGGAAAACATCCATATCATTCTCCATGTTCAAATATGATATAACCAACCTTCCACACAAACCTACCAACTTGTCAACCTCAAAATTCTTTGAATCCCTCCCAAATGAAATATCCAAAAACAATAACAATCCATTCACGACTCACCAATCTCTTTCACCACAATCCAAAAATAACAGGGAAGGCCACCTGAAGTTTTTACTCCACACCGCATGGCTCAAAATTTTAGCCTCTTACACATTTGGTCGGTATATTTTTTGTTGCGCATCATTTTCAATTGCACTCATGGTTTGCAGATTCTGCACCCATGGTGTACTAGTATGCAAAGGTAGCTTTCCTAATGCAACTGAAATGCAAATCAATGATCAAATCTGGAGAGAAGAAAAATCCCCACTTGGGGATAAACACCTAAGCATGGAAAGAGAACCAGAGCAAGTATAGCTCTAATCAATATTTTATATTCTTCAATTAAAACTAAATACAACGGAGATGACATCACCTATTTATATACCACAACAGTCAGAATATAGGAAAGAAAAAAAAGAAAAAGAAAAAAAGCCCACATACAAAGTGAAAGCACATACCAACTTCTGTTGATTGCGCAATCCGATCTCGTAAGATTGTAAGCTCAGGAGACAATTCATCAGTTCCCATCAATTTTAAGTATTCCATTGCTGTGGATAATAGCCCCTGACTTGCCAATATTTCAGCATATTTCTCAACAAGCTTGCACAAAGAAACGCTAAATTGCTTCTGCCCGGATGCCAAAGCAAGGACTATAGTCTTTTCCATTAAATCCTGATGAAATAAAAACATAAATATTGTCAACTCTCAAGCTAGAACAAATATTTTGAACAAACATTCTAAGATAGTGTACTTACCTGAAGAAGGTCAACATAGGATTTCCTCTCATGCTCTGATGTCAGATTCCGTGACCAAATTTCCACCGCCTTGTCAATATTTCCAGCACATATATAACAAAGAGTCGCAGCTAGTGTGTTACCAGCAGCCATGAGCCTAGAAGCAAGTGCATCACATAGCAAAGTCCACTCCTCTCTCTGTGCAAACTGTTCTTGGATGATAAATAATAAAGATTAACACAAACATTTTTCTAAATGAGAGCAATCAAAGGAAGAGTATTGCTATTTTTTCTTCTTATTTCCATCATTAGCAAAAATTAAGAGTGTGATCTGTGTATGTTACTATGTTTTGGAAAAGATATCACGGCCAGAACCAAGTTAAGGGGATCATATCCTCTAAAATCAAAGATATTCTTCCATTCGAAACCATATCAAGGGACTGTTGAATCACTTGTCATAATTTTGACCAAAATTTTCACAAAGGAAAGCAAGAAATTCTAGAGCATTTTTGCAAGCAATTGCAACAGAAATTGGGTACCAGTGATTCTAGTTCCCTCATCCAAGCTAGAAATACTTGCATCATCAATCAGCATGTAAAAATTGAAACTGGACTTGTATATATAAATATAAAAGTACAGAAAAGACCCCCTCTCCACAAACAAACTAAAGGAAAATAAAACTAAAACTCCTCCCAACAATTAAATAAAAGGACAATGTTTAAATTTCACTCCTCATGTTTAACACAAGCTAAGAAACATGGACATAGACACACGACATGACATATCAACAGCAATTTTCAAAAGACACAGGACATGACACATGAGGATACAAGAAAAATATGTAGTTTCACATATTTACTACATGTCATACATATGAATGCCATTCAACTATAACCGAAAAATACAATCACCAATTTCTAAGTATGAAGGAGGATTAATAGCATAAATCTACAACTATTTTTCTTTTACCATTGGATTTGAAGTTATTTTGTTCACATTTGTAAATTGTAATATGTTTCATGTGTGTCTAAGCAATAGACACTTGTGTCCAAGCAATAGACACTTGTGTCCCCCAAGTGTTTGAAGTATACCCAAATCTAAAAAAAATGAAAATAATAGGCAATGTTTGGACATGTGTTGGGAAGTGTCCGATGGGTGTCAATGTCCAACACATGCCCGACAAGGACACGCCACCCTCTTAGAAGTGTCCGTGCTTTTTAGAATATATAAGCATAAGTGACGTTTTAAACTAAATCTAAAGTTGGATTTGACATGACATTGCACTATCACATAAGCTATACTTTCATCCTTCTAGGTTGAGAAACTTACAGTACAAAGTAGAGCAAGTGTTTCTTTCCAGGTTTTCAGGGGCCTGGTGTTCACTAGGCTCATGAGATCATTGTTTACCATTGCAGAAACAACCTGATAATGAAAGAAAAAATCAGTAGAATCCTTGAAAGTCAAACATTAATCTAATAATTCCATATGAATAGGATGAGTCTTTAATCATTACACACAATTAGAACCATATCTTACTGATAAGAAGAGAAATGGCTTGACAACTTCCAAGAAAAGAAAACAAAATTTTATCTACCTTCAAGTAAGGAGAATGGCTCATCTTAAGGTATTGATCCCGTGTGCTCTCCCACAACAAAGCACCACCAACATGAGCAATAACTAGCGCATCAGCCACTTTATTTGCAGATATACACAGAGCAACTGCCCCTTTGTAGTCCCCAACAACTAATGCACGTTGAACGGCATCATTGAATGATTCATCAGCACTCTCCTCTTGTCCGTCAATTTCTTGTTGCATTTCGTCCACATTGGAAACAGAGCCTCCAACAGTATAGTTATCCCCAGAATTTGACACGGGTGTTTCAGCTTTAGGACTTGGAAGATTGTTAAAGAAATCTTCCCCATTATCTAACGGAAAGGTGGCAACGTCATTATCTGCTGCATACCCTCCTTTAACTGCTACTTTTTCTTCCAGACCCATAGCACCTGCTTCCTGAGATAGATCATCTTGCAAGGTATCCTTTGCATCAATTGGTAGGCTGAAACCGAGATGGCTAAGCAGTTTTGTCCTTGCTGTCCCATCATCTTCAAACATAACCTTCAAGAAGCCCCATGTTTCTCTGTCATCCTCAGATCTGCTCAGACAATTCAATAGAAACCATAGATTTGAAGTAATATGTCAGTTAACATTACTTTAATGAGAGAAAATACAAACAATTTCATTCCCTCATATTTAAAACATACTCAGACTCCTGAGATTTTTTATCACATAAAAGCCTTAGCGAAGATCTCTCCCCATTTTGTATCGCAGCTTCAAATTCAGATGAGCGGCTCACCAAACTGTTTTCTGTAACTAAGTTATGCACATAAACCTGGAAAAGTATAAAGGAAACAACCAAATAAGATCACAGAAAAAGAACCAAGTAGCACAGAACAACTCATTAAGCATACCTCTGAAGCTCCAGTAGCAGAATCCTTAGAGCAACATGAAACAAGCTTCCCTCCAAAACCAAAAGACACCCCAGCTTTACATTTATACCATTTTGGGGCTCTCAAAGGTGCTGCATCATACAGATAAAATATCAGAAAAACAACCAAAATGAAAGCCCATAGAGTCTCAGATATTTCCCTGACGCACGGTCGGGGTTGTGACAATTAGGGACAAAATAAAGTAACATAGTATTATGTATAAAACACTACAGAAATTATGACTGAAAAACTAAGGAAAAAATAGAGCAAGTTCAAGAAGTGGGTGATCAAGAAAGAGTGACAAAGTGACTACTTCATTAGACAATTTTTAGGGATTTTTGTGTATTCAATTTTTCTCCTGGTACTTCCATCGCATCCTTACCGATCTCAGGTAAACATTTTCAACAGATATTACATCTATCCAAACCATTTCAATCGGCTCTCTTTTATTCCATCACCCAAGAAAATCAAGTTGTCTTTCTTATGTACGTTTTGGTTTCCCTAATCATCATTCTGCCTAAGAACATCTTATTTCTTATAACCGCAACAATCTGAATTCAGAATGCATGGAGGGAAACATAAAACCCCATGTCTAATTCTAGTGGCATATTGCAACAATATAAGCCTCCATGTCTCAGATCATCGGCAGAGCCACAGCTACGGTAGTGGTGTCAAGTGACACCACTGAGTTGAAATGTTTTTGAACTATATGTAGATTTTATCTAAAACTTTTGGAGATTTTACAAGATGAGCCCAATAGAATTTAGAGGGGGGGGGAAAGGGGGAGGGGGAGGGGGGGACTTTATAAATTTCACAAATTGACCCCAATGGAATGAAAAATAGATGTCTATATAACAAGGGATAAAGGTATTGTTTAGGTCACTAGAAGGAAGGTGGAATCGAATGAAACAAAATGGTTATCTTTTTTGACCTCTCTATGAAATAACCATTCCTTCATAATGGTAAATGATGCCACTACTTGCAATGCATTTTTTTATCATTTTTTTTAGTAAGCTAAACATGACAATGAATGAACATTCTAATGGAGTACGATTATTTCATTCCAGTTTCATTCTAATGAACCAAACACTGAAATTGACCCATCAAGATTGCAGCAACCAACATGCAATGTTCTCTCTTCCTCTCAATTTTCATTTCCTTATGCTGACTCTTCTTGTCACCATCTTCACCAACAAAAAAAAAACAACTAATCGGTGGTCAACGTCTTGAAGATTTGCAGTTTGGCCTGAATTAAGCATTTTCAGAAGTTTAGTTTACCATAACTGGTAAAAAGTGTAACTCTTTGCTTGATTGCTGTTAAAACAGTAATATTTTTTTTTTTATCAGCAAAGAAAAATTTCATTAACAGCATGAAATTAAAGGTACAGGAAGATGACATGCATCGAGAGAGATTCGAAAAGTACAAAATACCCTACTAGTGCTACTCGCACCCATACAACAACCCCTTGGCCTCACAATTTTTTCTTTTAAACAAAAAAGTTAAGGACTTAACTAAAAAAAAAAAAAAAATCCCCACAAAAACAACCCACACAACCCAAAAAACAAAAAACCAACACCAAACACCCAAACTGCTACACTCCTCTTAACAACACCTAAGCAGCTAAGTCCTCCTAACAACAAACCACACACTACTAATCAACCCGAATATTTTATTCACCCATTCTGCTGCCCACCAAAACCAAGACCCACGCCACCAAAATCAAATCTTTACAACAGCCCACCTGACAACACTCTACCAAGGCATGAAAAGCACTCTGCACCACCCAAACCAAAGCTTTTCAGCAGCCCACACCTGACAACACTCTAACGAGACAGTTTCTTGGCCGGAAAACTCCATAGCCAACAGCTCCAAGGCTGGAGAAACTCCACACCCAGCTCCACTTCCATGGTCGGGACCGAGCACTCCTTGCAACCGAACACACCCAAGGATGATCAAGACTCACAACCATCACCACAGCCGACCAAGACCCACTGCCATCTCCACTTCCATGGTCAGACACAGCTTTCCGGCTCCAAACTCCGAACACGCCCACTGCAAAAGCCCCAGTTTGACAACCCAAAACATCGAACAACCGCCGAGACATCACCATACAGCTGGATGAAGTTCACCCCTCAAACTCCCACTCGAAAAAGAGCGCTCGAATGAAATCTTAGACAGATCTGGATCAACTACAACACCCTTGTTCCCTCCAAACAAAGCACCGAAGCAACTCCATAGATACGAAACCGAGCTCATCCCTCAAACTCCCACTCGCAAAAGAGCGCCCGAATGAAGATCCAACCAGATCTGACCATCCTCGATTCCGGTCCAAAACCGACCTCCTTCTACTCTGTTTTGACACTTAAACCAAGCACCCCCAGTTGAAACAAAACAAGCAACCCCAAGGTTGAGACAAAAACAGACAACAAAATAAACTACCCCCTGATGATACAAAATAAACAAGCCGAAGCACCCCCTGATGAAACAAAAAAAGGACACCAAAGTGGAAAGAAATTGTGGGAATCAAGTTTATTGAAAGCAGAAACCAGCACACAAACACAAGAGAGCTGGGCCAGCCGACTGCCATAGCCAAAGGCGGCGGTCAGCCAGCCAAAAGTGAGGCCCGGGGGTGGAGGTTTTAGAGAGAGAGAGAGAAATACAAACTTCACTAAACCATGTTACAGGCGGCAATGTTTAAACAGTAATATTAATGACTCAAGTTTTGTTTTTGCATATGATTTGACATTAAAATTGTTTTTGTCGATGTGATTGACAATATATAAAGTTAATGTATTATGTGAAAGTTGATTTTTTATAAATTATGTAAAATTAGAAGTTTTTACATAATGACACTTATGATGACTTGTTAATAACCCCACTGGATGAATTTTCTGGTTACGCCAAGTCTGAGTTTGTAACCATGTTCTGGAACCAGAAATTTTCCCCCAATAGTACATGTAATCTCCACTAAGATTAATGTTTTACAACTCTTTTTTACAAATATACTTAACTACATACTTCAAAAAAGACAACTGAAGGGAATAAATATATGCAAGAAAACAAAACTATATGCAGCATATGCTCTGACACATAAACCCTGGCATCTAAAAGTACACAACCATAGTCAGGAGTACAAAAACAAAAGTACATGAATTGCCCAATTACAGCAAAGAAAGATGAGTCTTATTACTTGATGTTAAACACTAAAAACTTCGGATATAACTGGACAATACAACATTTGCAACATTTAAAAAGTACATCACCTGCACCAAAACCCTCCCCGATTCCAAATCGGCTACAACCCTGCAGAAAAAACATCAAATTTTTTAAATGCAACAAGATAACAAAAAAAGTATTTCCTTGATCATCAGGTTAGCATACAAAAATAAAATTACAGTAATATCTAGTTAACACATATCATTACAACAAAAACTCTTATCTAGGCATCAGAGTCAAATTACAGTAATATTTAAATAAAATTACTTTTTTAGGCAAATATATAATTATCTAGTTATGTGCCATGAATTAAGTTTGTGAAGAGTTCATCTGATTTGCACATGCATCAATGTTATAAGGATGCCCATCTTATTGGACATTGAAATGAAAAGTATAATTATCAGGGTAAAAGGACGTGTGACAATAAACAAAGAGGTTAACCAAATTCAGTGTTTTGTTTACTTATTATAACACTTTCCATGAAAAGCATGTAACAACATTTACCATACAAAGACTCATTAACATAAAAGCAAAAGAGCTTACCTCAATATTATAAATCCCAATTTTTCCATCAAAGGAAGATGCCGATATGACCCCAGGTATCTTTGGATACCAATGCACATCAAAATTCCAGTTGGTTCCAGCTGGCAATTCAGAGACAATCTGCCGCAAATTCAAAATCAAAACTAATGTCACCATGGTCCATGTCATATCACATCACAAGCAAAACATAGACAGTGGAATACCCACCCACTTGATTGGTGTCATATGTGTACATGCACAAGGGAGTTAATGAATCATATTTTGTTGCAATGTACAATGGCCAGGGAGATATGGAGCTTGTTATTATCAGTTACTAGTATAGCCCAGGTGATGCCAGTGACGGGTAAAGGTCTTTTCACTTGCTAGAAAAGAGGATATCCGAGGAGAGATAACAGGAAGGCTTGGGGTGTGGCTCTTTATGCCTCATGTGGTGCATTTGCAGAGAGAAGAATTGTAGATCTTTTCGCGATGCCTTGGAAGGAACAGTGTTGGCATCCATGATTTTTGGCTTAGGGATGACTTTCCCTAAAATTTATATTCTTTTATAAAGTTTTGGGGGGATTTGCACATCTTCATAGATATATAGGCAGAGTTTATGGCCCTATACATTATAATACATGTACTCATCACAAAAAAAAACAAAAAAACAAAAAAAAAAAAGGTAAAGAAAAGTGACACATTCAAGGAAAGAGGCTAAAGCCTGTTTACATATATTTACCATTGCGGGGGAGAAGGGGGGAATAAAAGAAAAGAAAGAGGCATTGACATCTTACTCTACCTCTCCTGAAACAATATCCCAGCAAATTGTGCGGTTGTCTTTGGCACAAGTAAGCAAATAGGAGCTGTCACTGGGACACCAAGACATCGCAATCACACCTGGTGAAAGATATGCAGGAAGCAACAGATAAAACAGCAAATTAACAAGAACATATAATTGATGAAAGACCAATAAAAGAAATACATAGTTTTTATGATTTCTCCATTCACTTGGGAGGAAATCAGTAAACCAAAACATTATAAGGTCTAATTGTAATAGAATTGCACAAAGAAGTCTATTAAACTCTTTCCATACTTTTACCATTCTGGCTAACACATATTTGAAAATAGTATTCATTGTCTGCATGTTTTAGACACGGACAGAAAAAGAGAGAGAACCCCAACAAATCCCTAATTTCCATAGTAAATAGAATAGTCCAAAATCTCACACTCAAAGACATCAGTAATTTGAAGATAACGCAAGAATTTGCTGAATGATATACCTTTAGTGTGTCCCACAAACTCCCTCACTGGTGACATTATATTACGCATATCCCAAAGCTGCAAGTAAATTTCAATGTGAATAACAAGAGCAAAATAATTGAACACAACATATATTACTCATGTAAGTCAAAAAAATGTAGTCATTACCCTCAAAGCAGGTGAACTATCATCATCTGAAGCAACAATAAGTTGAGTGGCCACATCAGGATGCCATTGCAAAACAGAGCACCGCCTCCTATTTGAATCTTGAAAGCTGCCAACAAAAACCAGAAATCTTAGGTTATTATGTTATGACTATCTCATGCAGAAGCACCCAACATGCTTCACATTATTGAAAGCAATTTACCTAATCACCGGCTTTTGCTTCCTCAGGTCCCAAACCACTGAAACCACAGAAAATACCTTTTATTTCCCGCTGAGAATTATGAATTAAGTGACTAATTAAGATAATTAGATAATTTCTTTCCTCACCAGTTGTCCCATTATACGAAGTGGATGCTAATATATGTTGAACCTTGCTATTCCAAGATAAAAATGAAATTTCACCCTGAGTAGCAGATCCACTACCCTGCAAAAAGGTCCAATAAACTGTGTTAGTTGCTTTCAGTAGATTCTGTACAATGAAATTCGAACAAAACAGTCATACATGTGTATACATTATACATAAACGCACATACAGTTCTCTTGAGTAATATTTCAGATGTAAGAGCCAGGATTTTAAAACATAGGCACCTTCAAGAGTAGAATATAACAGATTCAAGAACACAAATGAATGGCTTTAGACGCCAAGCTGTTGAAAAAACAAGAAACAATGAACACCAGATGCACGACCATCCTTCCATGCAAATAAGGTATATATACAAGTGCAATCATACAGAAATCAGATTCTTCAAATCCTATCCAGTATTAGAGTCAGATCCCATCCCCAAATCCTATCCACTACTAGAGTCAGAGCAAATAAGGTATATATACAATTGCAATCATACAGAAATGAGATTCATCAATCCAGTATTAGAGTCAGATCCAATTCCCAAATCCTATCCAATACTAGAGTCAGATCCCATCCCCGCAACATAATAATTCAGTGGGTACACTACTGTACTAGATATCACACTTATTCTATAAGAACTATATTTAAGATTATTTCATGCACCATTAAAACATTTCCTCCTATTAATCAATGAAAAACCTTTGTAACAAGAGAGAATGCTATTATACTAAACAGACTACTGTACTAAATATTATACCTCTTCTATAATAAGTACTATATTTAAATTACTTCATGCACCATTAAAACATTTGCTCCTATTAAACAATGAAAAACCTTTGTAACAAGAAAGAATACTAAATAGATTAAATTAATTCTCATCCAAATCCAGCCACTGACATTATAATCAAAGATCCAATTCTAAATAAATGAAGAAAAATTCATATCTAAATCCAACAGCTGACTCCTCGCACTATCAAATTTCTTATTGTATTTGAATAAAGGATATTAGAGGCCAATCTATGAGGATTTAAGCCTTACCCTCGTACTCCCTCCTTTACTGAAGCAGTGAAAATCAGAATGAGATTTTTGGTTTAGAAAAAACAACTTAAGACAGTGTTGAGTTATCTGTACACATTCATTGCCTTCTTTCAACAGTGCTGGGGGGTGGTGAAGGTGGAGGTGATTGCCATGTTTGAGAAGTTCCATCAAACGAGGCAGTTTGAGAAAAGTCTTAATGCAACTTTTATAGCATAGATTCCTAAGAAAGGAAGGGCAAAAAATATTCAAGATTTTTGGCCTATTAGTCTATTGAGTAGTGTTTACAAGTTATTGGCTAAAGTCTTGGCTAATAATAGACTTCGGGGGGGTTTTAGAGGGGGTGGTGTCAGAGACTCAATGCTTTTGTGGGTGGCCGACAGATTTTGGATGTTGTGCTTGTGGCAAATGAGTGTGTGGACTCGCGGCTCCAACAAGGAAAAGAGGGGATAATCTACAAGTTGGACATTGAGAAGGCCTATGATAATGTAAATTGGCAGTTTCTGATATATGTGCTAGAAAGGATGGGTTTTGGGAGAGGTGGAGGCGTTGGGTTCAATTTTGTATTTCTACTATGCAGATAGCGGTCTTGGTTAATGGGACGCCGGTGGGTTTCTTTCCCACATGGAGAGGTTTGCGACAAGGGGGCCCACTATCTCCGTTATTGTTTATTTTGGTTATGGAGGCTCTGAGCCGATTGTTATCTAGAGTTGTCCGAGGAGGTTTGTTATTGTGCTTTGATGTGGGGACGGGCCCTGTATCGTTGGTGGTTTCTCATCTCTTCTATAATGATGATGCGGTAATTTTCTGTGATGCGGATGCGGTTCAAATTGGGTATTTACGGTGTGTGTTTTTATGTTTTGAGGTAGTGTCAGGGCTCCAGGTTAATCTGCAAAGTTAGAATTGATTCCAATGGGTGAAGTGATGCAACTTCCGATGTTGGCAACCATTCTAGGCTGTAAGGCCGGAATCTTATTTGGGACTGCCTTTAGGGGCTACTTTTTAAGGAAGCATCGGCATGGGATGGGGTGGTCAATAGAATGCAGCGGCGGTTGGCGGGGTGAAAGCGTCAGTATTTGTCTAAAAGGTGGGCGAATTAGGCTGATCAAGAGTGTTCTCTCTAGTATTCTGTTGTATTTTATGTCAGCGCATGTGATTCCTATGGCGGTGGCAAAACGATTGAAGAAGTTACAACGGGATTTCTTATGGGGTGGGGGAGGGGAGGTGAGGCAACGGGAGGGGAGGGGTTGGGTTTCATTACCATTTGGTGTCTTGGGACAGGATTTGTACTCCTAAGGAGAGGGGATTTGGGTGTTCGGAGGTTGGTTGTGTTTAACAGAGCTCTTCTCGGGAAGTGGTTGTAGCGTTTTGCAGCGGAAAATGAAAGGTTGTGGAGAAGGGTGGTAGGGCTAAGTATGGGATGGAGAGGGGGGGTTAATGTTCAAATAGGGTGGGCCAACCTCATGGCCAAGATTTATGGAAGGTGATTTGGTTGGGTTGGAAGAAATTTTGGGATAGGGTGCAGTTTAAGGTGGGGGTTGGGGATTGGGTCCATTTCGTTTTTGGCAGGATAGGTGGTGTGATGAGGTGTCTTAGCTCGCATGTTTCTATTGATATATGCTATTGTAATTGATGTAGAGGAGGTGGTTGCTCTGGTCAGGGACAGATATGGGCAGTCATTCGTTTGGAATGTTCATCTCTGACGTGATGGGCAGGATTGGGAGATGGACCAATTGGTGGACCTTTTGAGGTTTTTGTATGAGTTGAAGCATAAGGGGAATGGGACGGATTCTTTGATGTGGGATTGTCTAAAATCAAAAGGGGTTTTCTCGGTGTCTTCATTTTATGGTGTGTTAGCAGGGGGTGCTATTGATGTGTTTCCTTGAAAGAGTATTTGGGCGGCAAGATCACCGCCTAAGGTAGTTTTTTTTCGTTTGGACAGCCGCCTTGAGTCGTATCCTGCCTATTGACAACCTAATCCGGCAGCAGCACGTTTTGGTAAATTGGTGTTGTATGTGTTGTGGAGATGCAGAGGCAGTAGATCACTTGCTTATTCATTGCCCAGTTGTGTCTCGGCTTTGGAGTTTGATTATCGCTTTGTTTGGATTGGTTTGGGTGCAACTGGGGTTTGTGTTGGGTGTGGTTCATAGTTGGCGTGGGCAAAGGGTGAGAAAGAAGCGTCAGAAGGCTTGGTTACTTGCTTCCCATTATTTGGTGTGGTTGGTTTAGTTGAAGCGTAATAGGCGGGTTTTTCAGGACGTGTGCCGCTCGAGTTCCTTGGTTAGAAAGTAGGCTTCTCATGATATTGCATACTTGGGTGACAGGTTCGGTTGATCCTGATGTTTTGACTTTCGTAAATTTTGTAGAGGATTTGATTAATTAGTTTTTGTTGGGCCCGATGTGGGCTGTTTTATTTCTCTTTGTATTCCTTACATCGCCTTAATATTTTTCTAATAAAGTTTGATTATTTATCAAAAAACAAATAACACTTAGAACGAGGTTGAAATTGGAATTAGATAATAAGGTGTTCAGTGGACATGTAGAAATTAAATAAAATGAAGTTGATAAGTGGCTGACATGGAAGTCAAGTGATTTACATACAACCATCTTAAATCATACAAGTAGATGAAAAACCATGTGCATGCAACACCTCAATGACAAGTGACAACCACCTCCTTAACATAGTACCTTAAGGCTCAGGAAATAAAGAAAATAAACCTAACAAAAGATATTATAATTTATAATTTATAACCAAAATCTAAATTGTAAATAAAATAAAAAATTATAACCTAAATCTAACAATAACACATAATCACATACCTAAATTAATAAAAAAAACCATGCTCAATTAACCCAATGTTCCTTCCGCTCTTGCAAAGCACAATAACACACCTTTTTTTTTTATTGCCAACAAAAAGAAACTTCATTAATAAAGAAAAAAAAAAAACATCACAATAACCTACATTTCCCACCAAAAACAAACTTAGATCATAATCACATCAAACCTATTCAACACACTGGCAATTTGGTAGGCTTAAGATGAACCTTGAACTAAATATCAACCAATCCCTTCAATGCTAAGCATGGTAAGTGTTAGAAACTTGATATTTGGGAGCTAACAGCCTGACGCTTGGTGGCACCTTACACCTATGTCAGGCCTGGACTGCAAAATGAGAGAGGCATGCCAAAACAACAAGGTGGGCAATCAGTTGTGTTGTTCGGCGGCAACATTTAACCCTTGGCCAAAGTATGGGCAGCATGGCATGTGCAAGGCATTAATATGACCTTAATGCTAGGCTGCAGCATACTTGGGGGTTTAACATAATCAGATGGCTTGACTTGACTAGACAACAAGGCATGGTACACAACTTGGCTAGGTAGCAAGGCGGTTAGACTTGACCAAGACCAACATATGGCACTCTGGGCTCTGTTTGGCTAGTGGCTTGAGAAATTTGAAATTGTCTTAGGCAAGACAAAGACTTCCTAAAATATACGGGCAGTTGTGCGCTATTATGAACAAAACCAGACATGCTAACAAGGAACAAGGAAGGCTGAAATAAATGAGCAATTGGTGATAGTTATTTCTGTAGGCTTGTTTCAAATCTATGTTAAACCCTTGGCAGTTGGAAGTGTCAACTACCGTGCCAGATTGCATGTGTCCCTTATGTTCTGTGGCATGTTTGAATTTCAAATGTTCTAATTATAGCCTATATATAGGCATGGTCATGCAAACTCAAAATCATCAAGTGTTTGAGAGTTTGACAATTGGCTTTCCTTTGTAAATTGTTGGTGCAATAATAAAGGTTGGGTTTTCCCATAATTGTTGTGTTGCTTGACTTGTATGCTTGAAGAAATTTAACTTTTGTGTATGAATTGCATACATTGGCTAAGACTAAGTGTTGGGACTTAGTACCATTACAAGAAAATTTTATAGATTGAAAATTAGCCCTGTGACAGTAAGAATGAAAAAGGAAAATTAAAAATTTGTATATAATATTTGTTTATATAAGTTAAAATGTTGCTACAAAGATTTATTTACAATGATTAGGTTTTTAGGAGTTAAAGGACAAAAGGGTAGTTGGTAATTTTCACATTTACTCAACATGGCCTATAGAATAGGCCCATGGGTTTCCATGCAGATCAAATAATGTTATTGAATCTTATAGAATCTTAATTAGGTCTAAAATATACTCGGTAGTCAACGTCAAGCAGTTTCCTATTTTGGAGTCGCAATTGTAGTAAAATTATGGAACACAGTCAACCATAAATACTAATGAGAACTATTTATCAGAGATAATAATTTGAGAATTCATCATAAGTTACAAAATATTGTGGTCTAACCTTAGGGGGTTATTTCTAACAAGTTCTAGGTGCAATTCCTAAAGTTTTCTCTGTTTATCCTCTTCTACTCATCACAAAACACTATTTTGAGCTGCTCTACACAACACTAGAATAGTGCCAATCTCAGCCCCAAATCCTTACCTAATTAAGCAATCACCACCAACAATTTCCCCTATCCTTCAGCTATTAATACACACCAAAAAAATAACTTCTTTGGTTTAGTTTTCATAACTAGGTTTTGGTAATGTTTTCGAGTAATTAAAATTTGGGGCATGAAATCGCAAATTAGAGACTAGTTTGAAAAAAATAAACAGCAAAAAATATATTTTTGAAATTTCAAATATTATTTTCGCCACAAAAAATAGGAACCATATGAAAATACTGAATGATTTAATTTTTTCACCAAACTAGTTTTTGAAAAAAAAAATAAAAATCTAAAAACTCAACCAAACAGTTTGTCCTAGGACAGCCCAATTGCTTCAATGTCACATTAACCCAAATAAACTCGAGTTCCAGTCTCCTTAACTTACCTATTAGGGACAAAAATGAAAATTAAATTAAGTTGTCTAGAGACGTCCAACAAGCAATTCCGAAAATCCAGAAATCACAAACTGAAACCAAGCCAAAACTCATCATTTTTCATCTAAAACTCAAGAGGCTTTCTTTTGTTTTCTAAAACCCTAACTGTAGAAGCTTCTCTTGACCTAAACTCACTACAAATGCTAGCATAACTCATTGTTTTAATCTAAAAACCCTAGAAATGCTAGCATAACTCATTGTTTTAATCTAAAAACCCTAGAGGCCTTTTAATTTGTAGAACCCTAAATATAGTAGTCTTTTTGCCCTAAACTCACCACATGTAGGCAACTCTACTCCGAACTCGCTCAAGGTAGCATACATAACCATTCCAAACTAGAGCATCTTGCTTACATGAATAACTCTTAATCCACAACCTCTGTTCTTATTTCTTACTATTCAATGGGTAGATGAGTTCAAACTACATGAGAGAGAGAGAGAGAGAGAGAGAGAGAGAGAGAGTTCTCTTTAGGATTAAAGAAGCAAGTAGGGGTGTTCAAAAACCCAAATCAACCGCCCAACATGACCAAACTGACCCGAAAAATGATGAAACGGGCGGTTTCGCAGCACCAGCGAGTTGGTTGCAGGTGCAAGTTTATAAAATTTTCGAGTGGTCGGTCGGTTACCAGGTTTGTGAGAAAGTCACCTGTTTGACCCGAACCGACCGAGTTTTAACAGTTACATACATCTTTTCCATACAGATGGCAAGATTATGCTGCATATATAATATATATTTTATCTTTATCAGGGTTTTTCTGCACTCTCTCTCATCAAATCAAGAATTGATTGCATCAATATCAAGAAAAGTTTACTTAGATCTTATCTGTACCATTATGTCTCTACACTCTCTTTCATCAAATCAAGATGTGATTGTAAATATATTAAAAACAAAAAAAAGGCTGATTGCATCTCTATCCATGCCATTATGACTCTACATTCTCTCTCATAAAATCAAAAAAATTTGGTACATCTTTATCCATGTCATAATAGCTTTACATTCTCTCTCATAAAATCAAGGTCTGATTATGTGAATATCAAAAAAAAATGTTGATATTAAAATCAAATCTCTCCTCTCTCATCAAGATCACAAACCCTAACCTTTTTCTTCCTCTCTCACTCACTCACTTTGAACGAATCTCTCCTCTCTCCACTCAAATCAAGATCACAAGCCCTAACACTTTCACTACTCTCTCACACACTTAAACAATGAGCAGAGGCAAAAACAAACCGGCAGAGTGGGTCTCCTTAGCAACATAGGAGCAGCTATTTGTGGTGGGATTGCGATAGTACAACACTCAGAAAAATGCCTCTCCAACCTTCATTCGACCCCCTTGTTGCTGATCTCTACCATTGCACTCATCATCAAGCCCTTGAAGCATCACGACTTTGATCCCACGAAAATTTTTAAGAGTTTTAGTTGATCTCATCCCCGTTTGTCTCAACATTTTTTTCAACTTTATCTTTTCTCCTCTGTTTATTGTAATGAAGCAAACAGTTTAGAAGCACCCAACCGCTACCACCGCAAGCCGAGTGGGATGTGCGGTTCGGTTTTGAACTAACCTTTGATCGAAATCGAGTTAACTTTTGTTCAACCCAAAGCTGTCAGTTTGAGTCACGGTTCAATGGTAAACCCGATCCAAACCGACCCGTGAACAGCCCTAGAAGCAAGTTATATTTTGACCCTTAATTCTTCAAGAAAATTCAGTGTTTTTGCAACATATATATATATATTAATGACAACAAACTTGAGACCCAACACTTATCTATTGATATTGTACTATACTTTGCATCACAATATATACCAATGACAAAATACACTTGAGCTTTGTACATGTTCACAAGAAAATCAAGGCCCAACATTTTTTTACAATAGAGATGTAGAGATATAGTACTATAGTTAGCATCATGACACATTCTAGCGAACAGACAAACTTACTTTTCACATGTTTATTTGATAAATATTTTGGGAAATCAAGTGTAATATATTCGAGAGCATGGCTGAATTCCTACATACCTTGAGAGGCGGAAAATGAGTAGGTTCTGTTGGATTTGCTATATCCCATATACAGATTTCACCTTCATCAGCTCCAGAAGCAAGATGGTTAGGAGAAAGTGCATTAAATTCAAGACCACGAACCTGAAAAGGAGAGATATTGTAAGAGTAACTAAATCATTCTATCATCAAATGCCCCAGAAATGAACCAGCAATCCCAAAATGCATAAAGATGAAACTTACAGGCCCTTTATGCCTCGAAAGCTGCGAAACGAGAGCATTTTCACCTGCTGCAGAGCTGAAGGGGAACAAATTATAATACATAAATCAAGGTTTCAAGGAAGTAATAAGCACCATTAATTACTTTCATCCGGAATTCATAAAGCACCTATTGACAAGAGAGCAGTACAGAATCCATTCAAAATCTTCTTTTATCAAGAATTAGATTCAAATTTATATAACCCGAGAAGAGAGAGAGAGAGAGAGAGAGAGACTAAATTGCATTATCACACTTGAGACTACAAGTAATTCCTTAAACTCAACATGATTAGTTTTTAGGTTAATTTTTTAGTTGGGACTCAATGGGCAACAAGGAGCCACACAGAAAAACAGCAACTACCAATTTCGACACAATGCAGAGATATCCTAATAAAAGGCGTCACCAGATAAAAAGGCAAATTTCCCAAGCACAGAAGTTGGTTTAATAAATTTACAATGGTAAGGAGTTTTCTTATCAAAAGAACACACCAGGATCCCTCCAGTAACAAGAGATGAATGAGAAAACGGTAAAGAATGTTGTTTAGTTCAACCAATTTAAATAAAAATCATACTTCAGTGACTATGATAAGATTACGTGAGAAAAGAAATGATAAGATTATGACTTCTCAATTAGGTGAGAAAATAAAATAAATGATTATGGTTTGTTAACATTGTGTTTGGATGAACAGATGCATGTTCTTTTCATTTTTAATTCTTCATATTTTGATGGGAAATTTAAGCATCTAAAATGTATATATATAATTCAACTTAAGATTCTCGCCAAATGTCACCAATGTTAGTGAGAACAAAACACGAGTTTTAATAGCTTTATTTATGTCACTATTTCTCTCCACCTCTCGTTATTTCCACATCTTTAATCATCCAAACAAGTGATGAGAGTTCTATATCTCAATATTTCTTTTCTTTTCTCACCAAATTCCTCAATCCAAATGGACTGTGAGTGTCTACACCTCTCACTAATTAAAATTGAAACCAAAAAAACATAAATTTGGACCGAATGTAAAATACCCATTTCGATATTAGCATATAACAAGGTATATAAAATGGTTGCAGTTTATGTATTTTCAATTCATTTTCTAGAAACAGTCCTCAAACTAAGTCACTATAAACGATCCAATTCAATTGATTGAACACATAAACACAAATCACAAGAAGACGAGTACCTGATGAGAGCGAGAGGATTCCAAATCCCAATGTTGCCATCGACCAGACCACCCGCGATGAGACCGAGAGTGAACTCCTCAGAGGCTGAGGGGTTCTTGCCCCAAGACAAGCGATTGAAGCGCTCGGAACTAGTGGACTCAGCGACCAGAGGGAGGTCATGATCGTCGGACTGGAAATCGAGCTTGAAGATCTCCAGACTCGCCGACGAACTGAACGACAGATCCACCGCCCCAGCCATCGTCCCCGCCGCCAGGTAAGGCGCGTCCGGCGCTAACGCCACCGAAGCCGATCTGTTCACCCCCTTTATCGACGCCATAAGCAAAATCAGAGAGAATTTGGGGATCTGGAAAATCGAAAGCGAGGAGTGAATAGGGCTTGTGATCTTATTGAGAATTGAGGAAGGAGTTGGATGTGATGCGAGAGATAAACAGATCAGGAAACAGGTTGTGTGTGTGTGTTTGTTGTGTTGTGTGAGAGAAGAGTCGTTTTCTCAGTCTTCTCTCCCCTCTTCTCTTCTGTATGTTACTTCACTTCCAGTTCTTTGATTTCGCGTTTATGAGGGTTTTGTTTAGGAAGCGGGTTGAGTTGAGTTATCAATCAGACTTTGTGTGTGTGTGTGTGTGTTTCATCACTAAGCTAATTAGGAGACGCCACGCTGGACTTTGGAGGGGCTTTTCGATTGGGAAAAAAAATTAGTATTTTTAATTCTTACCTGTATGTAGTTTTTCTTTGAATTTTTCTCATATGCATTTTATTTTTATTTTTTAAAATTAATTTCAGAATATTCTATAAAAAAAAATTTTAAAAAAACAAAATCAGTTCAAAAAACAATTTCAAAGTAAAATTATTTGGTTTAAAATCAGCAGGAGCATCGCTCTGCCGAGCGTTCTTCGTCTATATTGATTTTTAAATAAAATTGTTTAAAGAGATATTGATTAATAAATCTCATATTTTAGACTTGTAATTTATATAAAAAAAAATTTTGTTATCTATTTAGTCTTTTTATATGTGCAATAACTTATTTGTCCTTCATATTAATGTATTACATTTGAAAAAAGTACATTAAAAAAAAATTAATATCAAATTATACCCGCCACATTAAAGTGTTACATTTGAGAAAAGTACACTAAAAAATTTTAAATTTTTTTTAGTATCACATCATATCCGTCGCGTTGTCACATTTGAAAAAAATACACTAAGGAATTTTTATTTTTTTTTTAGAGTGTCACATTATACCCGCCACGTTGTCATGTTTACAAAAAGTACAAGTACACTGAAATATTTTTATTTTTTTAGAGTGACACATCATATCTATCACGTTGTTATGTTTGCAAAAAGTACACTAAATATTTTTATTTTTTTAGAGTGTCACATCACTAAGGAGATTTATTTTTTTGAAGTGTCACATCATACTCGTCACGTTGTCATATTTAAAAAAAGTACACTAACGAATTTTTAGTTTTTTTGAAATAAAAAGTTTTTGAGTGTCATATCATACCTGCCACGTTGTCACATTTAAGAAAAGTACACTAAGAAATTTTTAATATTTTTAAAGTGTCACATCGTTGGAATGTCATGTTAATACCTATCATATTGAAACATTATGTCGTACATGTCACATTAATAAAAAAAAATGTATAACTGTCTACCAAAACACTACCAAAATAAAAAATATGACCACACGAAAATAAACTCTCTACTAATAGGACTTAACAGATCAATGAAAAAAACTTAGGACTAATTAGAGTACTGTAATAACCCTCACTACTGCTTACCGATAAACATTGATTACCGTTAAACTGAACTGATTATGACTGATAATTGAACTGATTAAAGTACTGAACTGACTGACTGAAAACTGGAACTGAATTGACTGAGTGTGTTTGTTAATTTGTATTCTATCTGTTTGATTGATTATTTGATATGTTCGTGTTTTATGTTTAAACTGCTAATTGAAGGCCTTATCGGCGGCCGAACCGGGAATTGATTGATGTTTTATGATCCTCATAATTAATGTGATTTTATGGTATATTTATCTAAAAACTGATTAGGTATGATTAAAATAGTTTAAAATAAGCTAATTAAAGAGTTGGCCTCATTTACCAAACTAACCCTTAGTGGCCTACTCAATATAATATCTTTGAGCCGTATACTTGAATCAAAACACATTTTGCTCAACCATTCTCCTTGCTTTGCCGACTTTGAGAGGGGGAGAGTGAGAGATTTGAGTGGTTCTTGAGAGTTTGGCCTGGAGAGATTGAAGAATTGAAGTATTGATTTCATAATTGAGCTTCTAGGCTTGAACTACAAAACTAAGGTAGAGTAACTACTCTCTTGTTCTTGAATATTAAGTGATTCTTGCATGATTCATGTCTAATTGTAGAGCTAAGCCATGTTTTAGTTCATACATGTTGATATAGAGCATAATTCATGCTTGCATGTTTGAATTGTTGAGTTGTGAGTTGATTTCATGGTAAAATGGTACAAGCATGCCAATAACTTTGTAATAGTCCATGTTTTCAATTTGTTTTTGGATCAATCGGCTCCTTAGAGCATCAAATTGAACTTTGAAGTTGTTTAAAATTCATGCATGTTGCATGTTCATATTGTTCATGAAATTGGTTTGAAATTGGGTTTGAATTAAACACCCTTGGGCTTTGATTTCTCAAAATTGAGCTTTGAACCAAGTTATTCTATGTGTTTATAAAGGTTTTCCAGAAAAATGGGCCCAAGAGGATTGGTTTTGATGCATTTGAACCTGGTTTTGGCTTGGAGGTGCAATCTGGAATTCCCAGATTTTGCACTTCCGCTCGAGCGGGGAAAGTGGCGCTCGAGCATAGAATCCGAGCATCCAGTATTTCTCTGCACTGTTTTACAGTCCGCTCGAGCGGAGGATTGGGCGCTCGAGCGGAGGATTATGTCTCAAGCTCGAGTGGGCGTCGAGCGGAGATTTCACCCATCCAGTACTTTTACAGTACGCTTGAGCGGGAAAGTTGACGCTCGAGCGTGTACCTTTGTTGCATGACCGCTCGAGCGGGGAAACCTACGCTCGAGCGGGACTCTATTTTTCTGATAAATTCTGAAACTGCTTTTTGAGTACATCTTTGCATCCTCATCCCATTCTAGGCATTCCTAGGCCTAGTTTAAGACATCTTGTTGAGGATATAGATGTAGAACACACCGAGGCAATTAGGGATTAAGTTATTATCTTTCCCAGCTGTGTAGCTTAGTGTGTTCAATCTGTTAACTGTGTAAGGTTGGCGACTGGGGAGACACGCTCTAGCATACTGTAGCCCAGAACTCTGTGAATAATGATTGTGTAAAGATATGTTCACAAATGATTATTTTCTGAACAACTGAACTGTACTGTTCTAAACTGATTACTGTTAACTGATTGAATGTATGTCATATATTCTGAACTGTATTGTGGCATCCTTAGCACTTACTGTTGACTGTTACTGTGACAGAATTCTCTGTCGGTTCCCTTGTTGGAACCACTACTGTTTACTGACTGATGGCCATCATTACTGCTCGGTCTTTTAAGACCTACTATTTATTGTACTGTTATGCTAATGGGTGTACTACATATGACTGTACTGACTAAACAACTGAAATACTGTTTAAATGAACTGTTTTCATACTGTAAGGACATTCATTCTAAACCTCTTTACGCATTATGTTATTCACTGGGTTTTAGCTCACTACTCATATATATATGTAGGTGTTCAGGCACCAGACCGCGGCTAGGAGCGTCAGGGTTACTCCAGTTTTGTCAAGCCAGCCTATGTGCCTCACTGCGAGGTTCCGAGCCTATCATGTCAAGGCTTAGGGGTGTTTCACAGTTCCCCCTTCTGTACTGTCTTGCTGTTTTGTGTGTAGACTGAATGTTACTGTACTGCTATGCAGGGATTGAGTCCGTAGTCTGAATGATTGTAAATATTGTGCATACTGTTCTGTACTGTTTACGTATTAATGTATGGAAAGTTTTTTTGCATACAGACTGTCACAGCTCATTGGGCATTGTTTCTTTACTGTTTTGGCTTCCGCCAGGCCCTGTACTCTGTAATACTGTACTACTGTTCTGCAGGCCTTCGGTAATCTCGGATTACTGGCCGGTTACGGTGCTAAACCCATAGGGTCGGGTTTGGGTCGTGACAAATACTTATTTATGATATGAGATTTATTGGTAAATATCCCTAATTTAAATTAAAATTATAAAAATAAATACATAAATTAAGATAATATGATACGTGAAAATAAAATTTTTTTAGAACTTGAGTTCGAGTGTCTCTATTTATACACTACATTTGGTCTTAAGGCACATCACTTGCTTAATGCACACCAAACAAAAATTTTAACTTTATTATTTTTGCTCAATACACACCATCCATTTTCAAATATACCTAAAATATTTTCATCTTCTTCAATCACCCCGCCAACCCTAACTCTAACCCTAGCCGCCGCCACTCGCCGCAGGCCATCGCCTCTCCCTCCTTCTTCTTCGACGAACCTCTTCCTCACTCCTCCATCTATCACTCTTCCTGCCTTACCACTTCCAACCACACTCCCAAACCCTTTTCCACCTCATTCCTCCCTCCACCACCGGCTCAACCACCTATTCACCATTGCCGCTACAACCTCTCATCCCATCCCATCTCATATCCAACTTCTTTTTCTCTCTCTAAAAACCATCAAACTTACTTTCACCACCGCAACCCTCTCTCTACAGAGATCTTCCCCAACCCATCGAAGAGAAGCTTCTCACCGAAGACAACTACAACGGCAAAGTTTCGAATCAGAGCTTGAAATCCTAGATTGAAGCATTGAATCTGGTTTGCACGATCGAACTCCTACAAGCTCTAGATCTAGATCTGAAAACCCTTGGACTCTCTCTCTCTCTCTCTATGTGCAATAGAGAAAAACGAGCCATGGCCGAAGTGGGAGACTAGGTTGTTCATTAATAGGGGGAGGTAGAAGGGTTTGCATAGGGGAAAGAGGTCGCCGCGCGAGGTAGGGAGGTTGTGGGGGTTGCGATGGTGGCTGGGTTTCAGTGATGGTGCCCAGAGGTAGAATCAAGTGGCAGAGCGTGGTGGTGTGGGGGGGTATATTGATATTCTTTTGTGGTTATTTTGGTCATTTTATGTAAGGTCATTATTGTAATAAAAAAATAACCAATTAATGGTGGGGAAATTCTATTTGCACCACAATTTTACCTATTTACACCTATTTTCTCACTACACCTTTAAGAAATAATTAAAATTCTCATTACACCATTTATAATACCAAAATTAATCATTTTCAAAACTCTTATAGATTTTTCTTATTACACCTATTCCTTTTGAATTACTTTGGTGTTATGTTACCAAACAAATTATATTTGTTTAGCCATCTGTTGTCGCATATTTATAGATTCACTTTCCTCAAAACATCATTTTTTTTTTCTAAATTTATGATGGGCCTGTTTGGTTGTACATTGCCCAACAATTTGAACTATTCCGGTGTCATATTACCGAACAAATTAGATTTGTCTAGCCATCGGTTGCCGCATGTTTATAGATTTACTTTCCTTAAAACATCAAGCATCCATAAAAAAATGAAGT